ATGTTTGTGAAGCAATGAATGACAGACTTAACTATATATTTATCACTTTTAGTCTTTACTTGATTTTATTGTTGCTTTTTATCAGACGTTTCGAGGATGAATATTCTAGAATATCCCAACTGTATCCCCAGTAATATCTTAAGACCCTTTCCTCTTCAAAAAGGACCAGCTTCCGGGTGTATACTTGTGGACTCAAGTATAAACTCAACTAATGTCTACCGCTTGATTAAAGGGAAAGCTGAGCCTATCTCTACCTTTTTGATTCCTGTAAACCAAACTTTTCATTTTATTCAGGTGCAAACCTGGTCTATGTATGCCTTTTTTTTAAAACTCTACTATAAACTAGGGGACACGGTGGAGTAATGGATAGCTGCTCGGATTGAGGAATCGGAGAGCCGAGTTTGAATTCCAGTCGTATCCATTACATTCACTTACGTGCTAATACCCTTCGGAAGGGTTTGAATCGTCTTCTTCTCCCTCGGCTATGGGTAATTAGCAGGACAGACTTGGAAGGCCTTGAATGGAAAGTAATGGCAATCTGCTGCGGGAAAAATCTGCCTCGTCAGTCATGTATTTTTCGATACATGATCGCCTAAGCGTGTGTCACGCATGGCACATAACTGGCTGATAAACGGGAAATATGTCTATCCTTTTTTTTTTATTCTCGTGCAAGGTGCATCTGTATTTACTTTCTGGGTTTTCAAGTTTAATCTAGGCTTATATCTATCTTTTTGGATCTGGTGTAAATACGACCTCTTTTGTGTCTCAGATGTAAACTTGATTTACGTCTACCTATCTATTAATTCAATTGGCTTTTGTACTCTAAAACTTATATTGGACATAAAATAACTCAACAAAAGTTGATATATCATTAAAGTAACCAACTTCATCTTACTAGTTTATGATAGCCAAGCTCAGTTTTAATTTTCATATTTGTACTTTATTCTTATTTAAAATGTTATAGTTGAATGAAGACAGCATTTACTGCTATTGTGATATTACCTCCTGCCACTTCTGTTTGACTGATCATCTCCAGCTGAGTGACATCAGTGATGATAGATTTGATGAGTCACGTTGTTGTGAGTGGAACATAGTTAATGACAGGTGTTACGGTTCAAGTCAGCCAGAAATATATTGTTACAGTTTAAATCGGATAGTTTTATGGGAAATAAAGGTTGTTTAATATACGCCAAGAAGACAGATCCTTACGACCTCATCAACATTGAAACATTTGATTCTTGTGGTTTTACAAAGGATATCTAACTCATTATTGACATTTCATTTTTTAGTCACCACGGGCTCTTTCACGGAGTCGGTCTTTTTACCTTCAGTCTTCGTAAGTATCTTGGAAATGTCGAATGTCATATTAATTACACTGACGTCACCATTATACCAAAAACTTGCATAACATACAAAAATGTGCAGATACATGTATTACGCTAAATACACACACACACACACACACACACACACACACACACACACACACACACACACACACACACACACACACGCATATAATAGGATAAGGAACATATAGGAAACATTTATAAATTTAACATGTTTAGCTTTTATTTAATGAAAGAAGATGGAGAATAAAAGAAAATTCTGGTATTTTTATGTAGTGTTTGTTTTTCATTGTTTAAGCAGACCTCACGTACATGTCCAGTCAAGCGTCGTTAGTGTGTATAATTCATGTATCTATGTACATCACAATTCTAGTCGGTGTATGCGGGATTCGGTTGATAGTGTGTATGTGCGTGTACGTTTGAGCATTTGGTAGTCATTTTCATCCATGTCTGATGGTTGTCCGTTGATTGGTCGATGTTTTGTGTGAGAGTGAAATAATTTAAGTAACAATGGTTGTATTTGTAGCTAAACAGATTTTAGGTAAGGTAACCGGTGTAAATTTATTTACGTTTCATATTTTCCTTATCCTATCATTCTGGCAGATTCTAATCCTTTTAAATTAAACTTATATATATATATATATATATATATATATATATATATATATATATATATATATATATATATATATATATATATATATATATTGGAACAAAATAGAAACATTTATAAATTTAACATATTTAGATTTATTTAATTCTGATATTTTTATGTTGTGTTTGTTTTTTATTGTTTAAGCAGAACTCAAGCAGCGTTGGTGCGTATAATTCATGTGTCTATGTGCATAACAATTCTAGTCTTTGTATATGGGATTCGGTTGATAATGTGTGTGCGTGTCCGAGTGTCTCTGCGCGTTTGGGTATTTCGAAGGCATTTTCATCTATGTCTGATGATTGTCCGTATGTTAATTGGTCGAAGTTTTGTGTGAGAGTGAAAAAATTTAAGTTACACAGGTTGTAGGTGTAGGTAAACAGCTCTTAGATAAGATAACCGGTGTAAATTTATTCACGTTTCCTATTTGTTCCTTATCCTATCATTCTGGCAAATTCTAATGCTTTTTACTCGAACTTTAATCCTTTTTAATATGTGTGTGTGTGTGTGTGTGTGTGTGTGTGTGTGTGTGTGTGTGTGTGTGTGTGTGTGTGTAAAAAATGGACTGACAAGGTCTGTCTGTTTAATGTTTTTATTGTATTTTTCAAGTTTTCCTATTGTTGTTTATTGGGATCCAAGTTACGGATAAGTTATCTGAAATTCATGTTTGTGCTTTTGTTTTCTACTTTCGACTATCTCAGTCATTTTCAAGAAACAATGTGGGGTGACTGTGGGTTAAGCAAGATTCCTTTGTTTACATCCGGGTATCCTTTACCGAGATGCAGACAAAGGAAACCTGGCTACCACACAGATAGAACATGTCGGTTCCTTTTAATCAAAATTATATGGAAGAATACTTACTACCTAAATATAACTTTATATAACTTTTTTTTTTTTACAATACTACACCCTACCTACACCATATTTTCTGTATTTACACCTCAATATTATCTTTAGCTTATTTAACATTTTGAGCTGTGAATCTGCGTTTAATTTAGCGTTCCTTCCATGAGATTCAGTTTATATTTTTTTAAATCTAAAGTAATAATTCGTGCCTGATGAGTTGGTAGAATAACGGAACCTAATTTACACTTCGAACATGCCTCTCTCTCTCTCTCTCTCTCTCTCTCTCTCTATATATATATATATATATATATATATATATATATATAATACTAGTGAGCCAGAAACTACCTACCTAGCTTGCACTTAAATGGATCTTCAGGGTACGTTGGTTTCGACACTGGGCGATTTTTTTCGGCCTACTCTGATGGTTTATTTTTTTCTTTTTTTTCCTCAATTTTTTCCCCAGATACCGATTTGTTTTAATATATTTTTATTTGCAAATTGTACTATCCGATTTTTTTACACCAATCGAGTATAGACATTAACATAATAATAATAATAATAATAATAATCATTTCATCCCAAGCAGGGTAATAAAGCCACTAAGATAAAAGAGGTTACTAAGTTGAGTAGCTCTTGAGCTTTGTATTGGGTGGACATTAGTATAACAAAAAGAGGACGATGTATTGAAATGCCACGAGCCATGCCTCACCTCTAATTAATATACAATTGGGCTACTTCAACTTATTACCTAAATTAGCACTGAAACAAAGTGGTATACGTAAACATTAAAATAAAAAAAATATAAATATAAACTGAATTCAAATTAGTTAAAATTTGATTTTATAACGATGGAATTAAAATAAAAATTATGCATTCAGTCTCTGAACGTGAATCTCGTTTTGTCTCGTTAACGTACGAGATTTTCTTGAAACGAAATTCATTTTTTGATGATACTGGTAGATCGGCGAAACCTATCAGAATAGAAGTTTTCCAGATTGTCTTCAATATTTACTATGATAAAATATTCTTTTAAGATATTAGGGATAAAGAGATTGATAGATTTAAGAGAGCGTATATATATATATAAAAGTGGACATTGAGGTCAACACCCAGCGGCAACAGTCTGTTTCATGATTAACCGTAATCGTCAGGCCATTTTATTATTATTCTACATATTAACAACATACACCAGGTATTTAAGAACATTTTAGCGCGCCATAAAATAAAATGAAAAAGATTTAAAGTAACGATACACGGTGTACGCCATATTAAAAATTCTCATTTCTTTTTCAGACACATCATGGCTGCTCCCAGTCAGCCATAGGAAATGAAAAGGCACGCCTTGTCTGTGGTCTGACAATTGTGTTTAAGCATGAAACAGACTGTCGCCGCTGGGTGTTGATCTCAATGTCCACTTATATATATATAATATCAATAATATAGTGGAGTCATAGATCGATTTTAGATGTATGCACGAAATAAACTTTAGAGTAAAGTGTTGTGAAAAGAAACGAAATTACTTTTGATACATCATATTTTCTCAGAAATTCCACTAATCGAAGTTCGGTATCTGAAGATGTCTTTTAAAGTCATTTTTAGTTAAATTAGTAACGTTCGAGAGTTCGATCTTTTCGCTAGGAAAACTTGACGACATAAACTAATTAAGGTAAAAAATACAGAAAGAAAAAGATTTTAAATTAAAAAAAAAAAAGAAGCAATTTCCTTTTCTACCGGAAGCCATGCAAATATTGGTATAAAATCCACACAGAGATTGCATCATTTCTCAATGTTGTTTTCATTTACAAAAAAAAAAAAAAAAAATAAGAAAAAAAAAAAGCGATCAGTGCCCCGAAGGAAATCTCTTATACAAAAAAATGTGTAAATACTGATTGCAATGATCACACACGCGCACACACACACACACACACACACATATATATATATATATATATATATATATATATATATATATATATATATATATATATATATATATATAAATATAAATTAAAACACCCATATAACAAATAAACATAAACACACACATGCACGAACACACACACATACACACCGACATATATATTAATATATGCATATATTTTATATTTATACAGGTACATATATAACTACACATACTCCTCCATGGGGCTTACAGTTATATCACATTGAAACCTCGGCTCCCGTACGATCACCGAAGTTAAGCCACGTCGAGCCTGGTCAGTACTTACATGGGTGACCGCTTGGGAAGACCAGGCGCTGTAAGCTTTGATGTGCGGGTAGTGTAGTGAATTGTTACTCGGAGAGCCATTGTGTTCGTTATATTCACTTACGCGTAAATACCGTTGGGAAAGGTATGAACTTCGCTCTTCTCCCCCAGCTATGGGTTAATTAATAAGATGTTTGTAATTAATTCATTATTGTTTCCAAATAGGTAATTAAATGAATTCTTGCAATCTAAAAATATTTTCTGGCTTTAAATAACTTTCAAAGGGTCGTTAAACCGTAGAAATAAATAAATCAATGATATAATCAAATTCTGTATGTAAATGAAAACAGACAAATATATAATTAGGCACACATTCATTTAGTCATTCAAAAGCAATTACGCACACTCGGAGAAGAAGATTTAAGTCATGGCTGAATAATGAATATAAGTTTTATCGAAATGGGATGTCGAGTTTGGGCGTATCTCTAACAAAAGTTAGATTATTTCTGTCTGAGTTTCGGGGATGAGGAGCTACTGTTATCTAAATTATTAATTGGATAATAATTAGTCGAAGTACATTATTGAGTAAAATCGTTCAGCAGTAATTAATGTAAATAAATGTAGATTGTTTAAAACAAAAGGAAATATATGAAAACATACTAAAAGCGGTCGGAGGATGTATCTGCCCAAACTTTGTCAATTTAAAAAAAAGAAACATTTCTTTAAAGAATTGTCAAATTGAAATTTTAGTGGAGTTGATTTAAATTTCGTCATAACAAGTTTGAGTTTTCGAAGAGATGATAAGGGACATGGAAATGTCACAAAGGTTGAAACAATGATAAATTGCAAAGAAACTTGGAATATTAAGGCTCTCCGTTTAAGAAAAAAAACCAAAAAAAAAAAAAAAACCAAAACACGCTGATTAATGGAGCGCTTTGGGTAGAAGAAAAAAAAACCTACTCCGCCTTCTGAAGTAGAGAGTACTAATGGTAATATTAACCGCTTCCTTATAAGGAATCATTTAGCATTCATTGAGCGGGCAGCCAGTGCCACTTAAGGTTGAAATCTATAAAATGTTTCCAATACATAACTGACTAATGAAAATCAAACAACAAAAAAATAAAATACCAGAATTTCTTTCTTCTTTTTCTCTATGTCGCATTCTCTGACAAAGCTTTACTAAAAATGAAACATGTTAGATTGATAAACGTTTCCTGTTTGTTCTTTATCTTATCATTCTGTCGTATTCCGATCCATATTTGATTAATCCCAGAGTCTTTCTACTAAAATAATTTTTCAGTAAAACAAGTTTCTCAAGTTCACTAACTGTTATCGCTCTTTCCAGTATTGATAAGAACTTCTTTCCTAAACTTTTGTTTAAAGTAGTGTGGAATATCGACATTTTAATTATGTCATTATGTTCTCTTCGAGTTATTCATGTATTGTTGAAAATCCTCAAGCGATCTGGTTCCTGATATTTAGTACAGCTCTTTATTTGTGATTGTGTAGCGCCAGTCCACAAGGTTCAAAGAAGGATAGTCTTTGCTAAGACCTACGGGCTTCATTTGCTCAAAGGCGTTTTTAAACATTAATCTGAGAAAGCGGTTGTATACAACTAACAGTTTAGATATTTCTCAACCAGTTTGTTATGCATATCGTCAATATGTCACATATATATATCTAATTCAAAGTTAACTGCGCATCAAGCAATGAATGTTTCACTATTTTCAATGAAATGTCAGTTTATATATTAAAAATGATGCGTAGAAATAATCTTGATAGGTACATTGCAAGAATAAAGCTAACATTAATCAAAAACATTGAAGAAAATAACAGAACCACTGCTATGGGATCATGAAAACTGTTCAACAATGATATTTAGTAATAAATACTTTCCAAGTTGTTACAAATAACAATCCAAAATACACAACGAAAATAATAAATTTTGTGGTTGTAGGTCAAATGGTTTGGAGGCCGAATCAAAGATAACGGCGCAAAAGAATAGTTCTTAAGAATTAATGGAACATCGAAAAATGTATTACTATTTTATACAAATTCCATCTATGGACAGATATAGAAAGTGAAATATTCCAACACGATGGAGAACCTTGTCATACACCATGTGCAATAATTTTGTCATGCAAATATTCCAGACATATAATTTTTATTCCCCAGTCCCACCTATAGTTAAGGTTATAATTTCTGCCAATGGGAGCCAAACTAATGACTAATAATGACTATATCTCCCTAAATATAAAAATAAAATGCAATACTAATCTTTATCTAGTCAGGCTTTTTCATGGCCTATTTTCAGCTTCCTCATTTAATCATTTCTGTATCACCCATCGTAACGCATCAATGTGAATGCTTCAGAGATGAATGTCTACAAATACTAACCTCGAAATACATTTAAATCACTTAACGCTTCTTAGTAACAATGAAATTATTATTATCATTTTTATCATTTCACCCCCCTCCCTAAAGGCGGTAATGCCACTAAGATGCAAATGGTTACTAGGAGGTGAAAGAGAATGAGAAAAATTTACTGAGGAGAATGGACAGAGTTCAGGAAGACGGAAGATGGCAATTGACGTTGCACTTAAATTTTTGAAGATTGTAGGTGTCAGGGATGCAAGAAGACGGAAGAGCGTTCTACAGGTGAGAAGTGTGAGAAAATTGGCTATTAGAATAGAACTTACGGTTACATTTCAACAGTAAATCGATGAGATCGAGTAGTCAATCTATTAAATTCACGTGGTCGAAGTACCAAGAAGGAAAATTCATTAGAACGACTGTCATGAAAATATTTATAGAAAAGCCAGTGGGAAGTCATGTCATGGCGGAGAGAAAGGGACTGAAGTCGAGATGCCGGGTCAGGATAGATAATATTACAGACTCTCTTTTGAATTTTATCGAGAATTTCGGGATATATAGTCAAAGGACTAGACAAATATGACAGCCATTTTAAATGCATGTACGAATAGTAGATTTTTTTTGTTAAGTCTCTCATTTCTTTTGTCCACCAATGTTACTAAAAGGTTAGTAGGAAAATGATACCGAAGAAATAAAAAAGATATATATAAATCCTACAACATAAATGGTATTTTCTTGCTGGGATGAAAGTCTCAATGTTGGCTTTTATCCAGGAGGAGACGTCAGACGCATATTTTTGAACGGGATGATTAAAAACCACATTCCAAGGGACATCGCAAAGGAAGTCATGGAACGAAGCCCAGTCTGTGTGTTGACAACAGAAGGATATTCTGTCAACAGGAAGTCCATGGCTGGAGAGGGAGTGGAAGAAGATGTTAACAGACACTACCGTGTGATCAGAGTTGCCAAGAGGGCAGAGCTATAGTGCGACAAGAGTTAGGGATGGAGGTAAAACAGAGATTGAGAAGGGAAGCGTTATCGCCGGGGTTACTGGGGAAATGCGTAGGAAAGTCAGTCACTTGTGGGAAGGATTGAGTAATTGAAAAGTTAAGGTTTTGGATGCCAGCGAGGACAGCACTTCTTGTGGTACTGGAATCTATTGGTTGTTCTCTTTTGTCAAGAGTGAATACAGCTTTTTGTTTTTATTTTCTGGAAAGAGAATGTTTTTGTCTATGTTTCTACTTAAAATACGAAAATATTTCATTTAGGGTGTTTTTTAAACAAATGTGGGTGGGTCTCAAACTTTTAGCCTGTAGTGTATATATCACCTAGCTGAGTTCAAATTACACTCGATTGCGTTTCTATCATTTCACATTAATACTCTTTAAAAAAGGCACGAATCTTTCACCAGCTATGCATTAAATAGCAGGGTAGACCGACCTCTCTTGCCTTGGGTAGCAGCCGGTCTAGAAGAAGAAAACTTTGAATTCAAATAGAAGTTGTGTTTGGAGACTACGTGCACGATTCCGCTGTTATCAGTTCTTGCGAAAAGTGTGTGTGGTTTTACACAAGCCTTCACGACGGAAAGTGAAATCGGCTATTCGAGTTCAAATCACAGGCTCGTCTGTCGCGTTCACTTTCGTACAAATACCCCTAGGAAAGGCATGAAACCCTCTCTTCTCCTCCATTTTCTATGGATTAAATAAATAGCAGTGTAAACTGCGCTCTCTAGGCTTGGATGGCAACTAATCTAAGAGAAAGAAAACTCTTAATTCCAAGTCGTAAAGGCAACGGGAAACCACTCCACTATCTTTCTCAAGAAGGTGTGACAATTTTCAGATAATAAAGAAAGGGAATCTCTAGCGTGTAATGATTTCCTACGTCCTGAAAGGACATGGCTTTAGAAAATGCTGATCGTCTATCGTTCGGTTCACACTTCTCCCCGGTCTTTTGAAAAGGTGTGGAGGTTTATTCTTGGTTTTCTGTTCAGGATTGGGTTTCCGATTCCTTCTGAAGTTTGCTTCAGCTCTTTACTCCTAACGTCTGCGCCTGAAAGCTGAAATTTTATTCAATATTTATTTCATTTTTTTTCTCTCATCCACCAATAAGAGTAGATAGGTTCGCCTATCGCCCGGTTCACACTCCTCCTCTGTATTTTTATTCATTGTTTTCTGTTTACAATTGGGTTTCTGATTTCTTCTAAATTCTGCTGCAGTCATGTACTCCTAACGTCTGCGCCTGAATTCTGAAATTTTATTTACTAATTATTTATTTCCTTTTTTTCTCTCCTCTATCATTAGGAGTAGATATGCTCGTCTGTCGTTCACACTCCTCCCCGAGCTTTTGAATAGGAGTAGAAGTTTATCTCTTGTTTCCTGTTTAGGATTGGGTTTCTGGTTCATTCTAAAGTCTTCTTCAGCTTTATATTCCTAACGCTTGTTCGATCCTATGCTAATATAAGTTCACACGGCTACCCTCTACCTTGAGTGGCTCTTGTATTGAGTGAACATTAGTAAAAACAAAAGCAAAAAAACAAAAACAAAAAAAACAAACAAACAAAAAACAAAACAGATAAAAACAACTGAAACCTTACTTTGTGTCTATCAGGTTAGCTGAACCAAATCTTTTTTCTTAATTGTAAAAAATAGACATTGAACTGAAATTTTTATAACCAGAAGCAAATT